AATAAAAACTCCCGTATAATAAACCGTAAACCGAATAAACCGTATATTGCCGTAGTCGTGTGTTTATTAGTCACGTTTTCTGTTTCTATTTTCTGGGTTTCTTCTGCAAGGTGTATTTGGAGTTTCAGCGCGAGAACGCCCTCTGGCCTTTGGATGGAGATTTACTGCTGATCACAGAACCGTGCTTCACTGAAAGATATGCATGACAATCGCAGCTTCTGTCGAATAGCGATCTCGATTCCATTTCGATTTACCGTGCAGCCTGGAATGTGAATTTTACCAGGGGAACCCCACCAAAATACGTGCATTTTAGCCCCCGGAACGTGATGTTTACCGGGGGACCCCTCTCGAAACGCCATTGAGCTAGTTTTGAGTAGCAATTGGGTGGGTTTTGTTGTGAAAACCTGGCAACCCTGTGCTCAAAAAACATTTCTTACTAGTATCAGTATTTATTGGAAATTTTACTAAAAACAAAAAGCCCTGACCACAGAATGCCACAACTGACCAATCAGAATCAAGTATACATAGCAGCAGAAATAATTACTTGAGTGCTCTTTTCAGTCCATCTGTGACAGCTTCTTTTCTTGCTTTTTCCAGTGACAGAGCTTTAGATTTGAGGCCTTCACTCACCCCATATCCTACATCCTCATGGTACGAGCCATCCTGTGGAGAAGACGCTGAAGAAATGGTATGCTCCTCACAATGCTGTGTCTGTCTAATCAAGAAGAGCTCTTACCTTTAACTGAACCTTCACAAAGGCACTGACTCCAACATAAAACTTGCCATTGATCAGGTCCACAAAGTCTGTAACACAAGATTGACCAGTCTCTTTAAAAATAAGCAATAAACCCTAAACTAATCCTGAAATCTGATGAGAATGCAACATTAATGGGAATGTTTGAGAATGTGCACATTGTTATAAATATGGTGTCCTTACCAACATTTTGTTGAGATATTGAGTGCGACCATCCATTATAACCAAACATTTCATTGGCCAGACTTATAACTTTGTGACCTTCAATGTAGCACACCTGCCAGCAAAAAAAGACAAAGGTCTAATAATATGAATAACAGCAAGATAATCAACTTTATATTAGATCAGCAAGGCTAAATAATATTGATAAGTGTACATTAAGTGCATTAATTCTCACCTTTTGCCCTCCTCCAGCCGGTCTGGTGCTGATATATTCAGGTCCGAGTTTCTGCCGTAGAGCATTCTGGACTGCCTGATACTCCTCTGCAGTGTATGCATTCTACAACAGACAATAAGCACTAAGAAATAACTCCGGATATATTACTGTACTAGTACATTATAAACCGTGTGTTTCTGTAGCTATTAACATACTAGTATCAAAATGACCAACACACATGTCCCCAAAACACATACCTGCCCAAAACACGTGTGGGTTGTAAGAGGTTTCCTCTCCTCTTGCCTCCCACAGTGATCCATGTGTTTTCTGATCGCTCAAAAGCCGTCAATATTCTCTTTTAAACGATGCTGTATGCGTATAATGTGAGTGGAGATCGCTGAAATGTAACAACAGGAAGTCTGACACAACATTACGCGCTAACTTACGCCCATAGCGAGTTACCACTTACCCCGCTCTCTGTTGAGCAGACGGACTGAACTGGTGAGCGTTCAGTCAAAGTTACTATAGCAACGTTCTGATATAAACATCGAATTCCGAGCAGCAGAATTCTATGGTCTTGAAGAACGTTTGTATATTCCCGCGTTAGAACGTTTACGCCGCCCCGCCCATTCACGCGTGCGTACTACGTCATAAAGACTGAGCTATCCAGTGTGTGTAGAGTTAAGAATCTCCCTTTTTATGGTGAATTTAAAAAAATCACCATGTATGTTTTATAAATGCATGTTATAGAATTTATTGTGAACAATTCTTCCGTGCACGTTTCATTTAAAAAAATCTAGTCATGTTTATTAATCAAAATGCCATAACTGTTTTCTGTTGGAAAACACTGTTCTGAGGACGCTAGAGTTGCAGCTATGGCAGCTGAGAAGGCCATTCTTTGTGTTCTTTTTGAAGAATTTTCGGAGCCTGGTGAAATCGGTATAAATACGTGTTTAATACTGCAAAATACGCTCGATGGTAAAAGAGAAGATCCCAATCAAATGAAGGGATTTGTGGAAACTGTGGTTCCTAATTATTGTGATCCAACATTTGCCTCGCATTTCCGGATGAAAAGACAAACATTTCAGGTGAAGGATCATCCACTTCTTACCTCCAGACTGTGCTATGATCTATATGACCTTATTATTTTTATTGTGAGTATAGGCTTATCATTATTGCTGATCACTGTTGTTGTGCTATGATACTCTAATATTTACCATTATATAATCAGAGCGGTATAGAAAAGTTTATGAAAGTGTCACTCCATAATACAATAGCAAAATATATAAATATGTATAGTATTTTAATGTTACATTAATCAGTGTCTAGCACACCTTCCTAAGGAAAGGATATGGACCAGAAGACATTGCAATTACTAAATGATATTTAGACAGACTTAAAGAAGTTCCAGATCTATACTTGTGCTCTTATTATTTCAGTTATTTTGCCTTTAATGTAAATAAACATGTGCAAACAATATTCTTGCTCTTGTGAATTTATTTGGATGTTAATTACATTGTGCAAGCTTTCTATTTAATACCGCGTGGTTTATATACATGTTGCTGCTGATTGGGCTGACATGTTTTACACACCCACCAAACAAGAGAAAACATATCTCAAACCCCGTTGCACACCGTTTCCAGGAAACATGTCGTTCAAACCGAAAACCGTAACAAAACGGTGCACACCGGTTTGCGCTTGAACTTGCCCCAGATAAATAGAACTCTCTGGTGATGTATACAGGATTTCTCCAATCATTTAATCGTTTTAAACCCCGCCCCTTCATGCTTATGTTCATCTGTCACCATTTTGAACGCAACACACACTTCTCAACATCCAATCAACTACCGATGCATAGAAACAAGCAGTGCTGCCAACTAATTTTCAGGGGAAGTTGCTAAAGGAAGGTCAATTTGTTGCTAAAAGTTGCTCAATGATGTTGTGACGTCATTACACGATGACATCATTACGTAATTATGACGCAAAATTGTCACTACATCAAATCTCAGCAAAAAATATTTTATATATGCTCATCTAGATTTGTTTGTAAAGTAATATAATATTAAAATATAAAAAACTGATTGAACACAACAAGCAGTGCTGCCAACTAATTTTCAGGGGAAGTTGCTAAAGGAAGGTCAATTTGTTGCTAAAAGTTGCTCAATGATGTTGTGACGTCATTACACGATGACATCATTACGTAATTATGACGCAAAATTGTCACTACATCAAATCTCAGCAAAAAATATTTTATATATGCTCATCTAGATTTGTTTGTAAAGTAATATAATATTAAAATATAAAAAACTGATTGAACACACACATTTTTGAACAATTAGGGCTTACAATTTAAGTTTTTTTTATTAGCTAGTAAACTAGGGCACAATCTACTATGTTAATATGAAGGAGTTTTCCTTATTGATTTTTCACAGGTTTTTTACCTACATTTTAAATTACGCATTGTATTTTGTGTTTTCGGGTTACAATGGATAATGAATAATGGAGAATGGAGAATGTCCTGGAAAATTACTAGTACCTTTTCCATTTTTCTAGATATTTTTCTTACAGTGTACTTACTAACTGATCAACAATCGCTGGTACAAGCTACTAACAAGGTGTATCATAAATGAACAATTATTCAATTATTATTATTAAATTGAGCAATTACTAATAGCAGCTAACTTAATTCATGTGATGTGTGTTCTGCTAGGCATTGTTGGTTTCCTCATTTTGTGTAATTTAGATGGAAAATGTGTGCCTTTTTATCGTTTGAGTCACTTGAGTCACTCAAAAGTTGCTAAAAGCAGCCAAATAAAATTTAAAAATAGCTAAATTTGTTGCTTGGTGCTTTTGGAAGAAAAAGTTGCTAGTGTAGTGTGAAAAGTTGCTAAATTTAGCAACAAAATTGCTAAATTGGCAACACTGGAAATAAGGCCCCACCCTACTTTTTTTTTTTTCCATATTCCGATATTCCTTTCCGATATTCAGTTACACTCTAATGTAACTTCAATTTAATCGTGACTATAAATATATTTGTCCAAAGATTTCTTCAGTGGAAATGTCTGTCAGTTGCTGCATTGTGCCAACAGGGGGCGACAAATAAAGATTATTTTGTACAATAATAATAATTATTATTGTTGTTTATTTATATTTTTAAAACACAAATTCTGTGACGAATTATCATTCAGTTTTGGCCTGCAAATTAATGTCATGACTAAAAAGCTGAATTTAGTTTAAGTCCAGTTTATTTGAATTCTGCTCCGCCTCTTTAAGATAAACCGCTGGTGTGCTAAATTATATCCCTGTCACGGTCAACTCAGCAGGGATTATCTCAGTCTAAATTAGGGATCCAAATAAAGATTGCCGCCCTGTTATTGGATTGAGTATGGATTTCATTAGCCTATATATGGCTAATTGAACTCATAAAGCGAAACGGAAACATCATTTGCTTTACTAAATATTAGCACATCCAGCACTGATTTCATTTAGTCTCGAGCACATCTCAACCCTTCGCCCAGTGGCGCGCGTGCACGTGTCGGGGCGTGGACGCGCCACAGTCTGGACTGCGTCTGGTCACTCAGACAGTCTGCGACTCGTGAAGCTTTATGTAGGAGGGGCGAGTGTTGGGGATGCCACAGGAATGATCCATTAACCCCGCACAGCCCACATCCGCATTTATGGATTAGTTTCTCCTGAAGTGAAAGCCATCATATTTATTGTTTTCGTCATCACTGAAGTAACTTAAATACCCCCTCTCTGCACGCGGAGCACATGACGGTGAGTGGAAACATTGTTACGATGCACTACTGTTCGAGCCGGGGGTTTGCTAAATAACAAACGTGCCATGATCGCCGTAAGGTACATTGAGTACCCAGTGCGTCAACCCCGCCATGAGTAACTTACAGCTAGTGATGGACCATGTAACCAACAGAAAATGATGCATTGAAACACGGCCAGCTGGGTTGCTTGATTCGTATCGCGTTTTAATAGAACAGTCAAGCGAGATCTGTTAGTCCAGAATGGGAAGTGATGCCCTTCCTCTCAAACAGGCTTCTCAGGTTTACCCAGACGTCGTCGTTTTAACTGTCTGCGCTTTGGAAAGGGAGATACACTCCTCCTGCTCCTCTAGCACATCGTGGCTCGTGTCCTGGCACGTTCAGTGAACAAAGGGAAACTGACATGAGGCTTCAGGGAAAGTGGAACATAAAGCAAAGTCACATATTATTTAAGTCGAGGCTGTTGAGATGCGGTTGCGTGTGTGTTTCTTTCTTTCTTTCCTTTTCAAAGAGGCCATAAAAAGCTCTTACGGCCGCGTGAGCAAATGATGACAGACTGATGCAAGACAAGTCTTTTGTTGTAGTAGCCTATTTCTTTTGCGAAGCTTCCCAGATGGTCCAGTAGGAGGCGCGGGATGGCTTGTGTTGCTGAGGAACACATGGAGAATGAATAACGTAAACAAGCGCATCGATCTTTGCTTTAACAGCAGCCGAAATGAATTAAATTTGGGGATATCTTCGACAGAGTAATGGTTAAAAAAAAAAGTTTTTACTGTAGTTCGCTTGTAACATGGCCTCATAATCGAGACTGATTACCAAATGCTTGCATCAGGGAGTTGTGAAATTTAAAGGGATAGTTCACTTAAAATCGAAAATTCTGTTGTCATTACACACCCTCATGTCGTTCCAAACCAGGGATGTGTTTCCCAAGAGCATCGTTAGCTAACTATTGTGGTAAGTTCCATTGATTGAACCCTATTGGTAAGCATAGGTGCTTTTGGGAAATGCACCCCTGTATGAGATCAAATTCGATTTTTTTGAAGTCCATGCTGGTCGCTCTTTTCTTTGCAATTACGACGAATGGAGACTTGATCTTCAAAATGAATTTGAGAACTGGATCAGTTCGATTTGAGAACAAATCATTCAGATGGATCAACCGATTCTTTGTAACGAAAATGAAGGCTAGTTAAAGGGATACTTCACCCGAAAACGACACTTTTTTTCTTCTTCTTCATTTGCTCACCCTCAAGTTGTTCCAAACTTGTATTAATTTCCTTCTGTATTTTGAAGAATGATATTTTGAGGAATGTTGTTAAACAAACATTTGACGGTAGCTATTCACTTCCATTGTATGGAAAAATACTATAGAAGTCAATGGCTACTGTCACCCTCGTGTCGTTCCAAACTCGTAAGACCTTTGTTCATCTTCAGAACACAAATTTTAAAAAAAAAAAGTTATTTTTTTGATGAAATCCGAGAGCTTTCTGACCCTGCATAGACAGCAACGCAACTGATTCGTTCAAGGCCCAGAAAGGTATTAAGGACATCGTTAAAATAGTCCATGTGACATCAGTGGTTCAACCTTAATTTTATGAAGCCACGAGAATATTTTTGTGCGCAAAGAAAACAAAAATAATGACTTTATTCAACAATATTTTCTCTTCTGTATCAGTCTTCAATGAGCGCTCACGAGAGTACCACGTGTGTTGTGGTGCTGCTGACGCAGGAGCCGGCGTTCTAACATAAAACCCGGATGCGCTGCGCTTTGTTTACAAGCAGAGGAAGACGCACGCTGTACGTAAGACAGTCTTCGTAAACATGTCTGAAGATTTTGACAGAGGATGACTTGCAATTTTTTGCCCAGCCTTACTTATTCGAACCAGAATATACAGATGGAGAGAGATGGACGTTCTACGTCAGAATATGCATTAAAAAATATTCTTGTCGCTTCATAAAATTTCGGTTGAACCACTGATGTCACATGGACTATTTTAACGATGTCCTTACTACCGTTCTGGGTCTTGAACGTGTCAGTTGTGTCGCTGTCTATGTAGGGTCAGAAAGCTCTTAGATTTCATCAAAAATATCTTCATTTGTGTTCGAGGGTGAGTAATTAATGCAGAATTTTCATTTTTGGTGATCTAATTCCTTAAAGATGCATTCATGAGTTATGTGGGAGCAGCCACCACAACACGCTCTCATTTGGTCTCTTTCTTCGTCCATTTGTGTTATCAGAAGGACCAGAGATGTTCTGAATGAAAGAAGGATCTGGCAGCCTTTCGATAACAATGCTGGAGAACTTGAGCGAAGCCCACATTGATCGACCCGCCCCTAGATCATCTACATTCAGCTTCTCTGCTCTGTTTGCCCTGCCACACCACCTTCACATGGATGGGAGCAGTCATCCATTCCGGAGGTAAAACTGATGCTGTGAACAGAACTATTAACACACTCACATCCTGCTATTCATACTCATATCCTCTTATTTGTTTGTGATGTCCTTTGTTTTCCATAAGCCATATTCCAAAATGTTCTCACAATGTGTGACATTCCTCAATTTACAACCTGCTGAGGGAGTCACTTTGTGTATATTTCTTTAGTATCAGTATGATGCCACAGGAGATTACATAGTTCCAAGTATCAAAATGGGTTAATCAATATTAATGTAAATTCAATGAGTGCAGACAGGGCCAGTGAGAAATGGATCCAAATTTTCCAGACTAAAATCAATAGAGTACAGTCGCCAGTGCAGTTTGTAATATCTATTTTTCATACTTCAATAAAAGTTAAAAAAAAAATATATATATATATATATATATTAAATATAATAAAAAAATTATTATATTATTTTTGTTACATTATGAAAATATATATTTTATTTTTTAATGTTAAAATAAATGTATGTGTTTAAGTGTGTTGTATATTTATTATTTACTTTTGTACAATATTATATAAAATATTACATTATCTTATTTTTGGTAAATATAAAAATATTACATTATATTACAAAACATATTACTATTAATATTATAAAAAATATAGCAATAATATAAAATAATGTTTAAACATACTTATATGTATAGTAGTGTATATCTACAAGTATAGTAATTATGTATATATATTTAAAAAAAAAATAATAATAAATATATATATTAGTCAGGCAAAAAAAAAACACATATAGGCAAAAATAATACGTTTGAGTGCTTTGAAGAGTAAACATATTTTAAAAGCGGCTCACATCGCACAGGAGGAGCAGGTTGTCACTCCCTTATACTTGGAGTGTGAAAGAAAGGGTGTTTTTGTGTTGCATAACTATTAAACGAGATTGGTTTATCTTTGTGTGTTTGACAGAGAGAGAGAAACTAAGGAAAGGATGGGAATGTAATGTTAGGAGGAAGGAAATTGGTTTCTCTACAATAAAACAGTAGTTTCCTCCCCTTCTCGTCTCTAGCTGCATCTTTCCAGCTCCTCCCCTTCTCTCACTTGTTGTTGCTGTTCTGGACTAACTGAACCGTGTTTTATCCCTCTGTTTGAACCATGAGGACTCTGTACCGGTTGAAGTTGGTAAGTTCTCCAAATCTGAGTCAGCTGGGGAAAAATGAAAAGGCTTCACTGGAGGAGAGAGGATCAGGCCCTAATGCCACATGGAACAGGTTAGTGCGGGTTTTGTGCGTAGCGCATGTCAATAAGTGTCAAACTGAGATGTAATTTCACGTCTGTGCGATTTATTTTAGCATTCACAACGCAGTTATTGCTGTATTCCAAAAGAAAGGACTGGCGGACAATGAACTCTATACACTCAATGAAGGTGTGAGGTGAGGAGAAACAGCATGGTATGTTGTGTTTTTTGTTTATTTTTATAAAAAATTGAGAGTAGGTTTGTGAATGATTAGTTTCACTATAATGGTAACTCTTAGCAGTGTTTCAAATGTTAACGTTGGCAGCTGTAGAGGCTTCACATTATCAGCACAGAACAGTTGTGAGAGGACGCAGAACCTCAGTCCACTATTATGTAACTATTACGAGAAAAAATGTGAAGCAATAACATCCCAGCTAAGAAAAACATACCCACATCATATTTCACCCCAGAATCAAATATAAAAAAAAAATAATAAACAAACATAATTAAGCACATTTCCCCCCATTCTCATTACTGTAATGCATCTGCATTATTTTACTGTTAAGTGTGGTTGTCTCATTATTTTCAGTGTTTGTATATCATAATGCACTAATGGAAATCCTTCTGGACAGTGAATAAAAAACATAATCGGCATAAATTGAATATATTAATGAAAATAGTACTATTTTGATGTACAAATAGTTGTATAAATAATGTATTTTTTTATAAGAATTTGGGGGGAAATGTGCCTAATTCTCAAGAAAATAATGCAGAAGAAAGTGCAAAAATGTACAATTACAGGCACTTTCATCCAAAATATATTTTAATCATTTGTATATCATTCAGTACTTTGTGGTCGGTAAGAGGTTTTTAAAAGAAAAATTTATACTTTTTTTCCCCCCAAATGGGACGTAATAAATTGAAAAAAGCTGATAGTAAAGACAAATGAATGCTGTTCTTTTCATTCATCAAAGAATCCTAAAAAAATGTAGCTTGGGTTCCACAAAAATATGAAGCAACACAACTGTTCAACATGGATAAAGAAAATAATAATAAGTGTTTCTTGAGCAGCAAATCAGCATATTAGAAAGATTTCTGAAGGATCATGTGACTGAAATGTAATGATGCTGGAAATTCAGCTTTGCATCACAAAAATAAATGACATTTTAAAATATATAACAATAAAAAATGTTAATATAAATTGTTGTTTTTACTGCTTATTTATTTGTTTGTTTTTATCATCAAAAGAATGCAGTCTTGGTGAGCTTTAAGAGACTTCTCACAAATATTAAAAAATATTACCGACCCCAAACTTTTGAATGGTAGTGTATACAGTGTATATTTTATTTTATATAATTACCTATTTCATTTATAAATATGTAGGTGTATATATATATATTCCTCCTATATGTAGGTATAATGATTAGATTTTTCTTCCGAAACATATTTGAATGTGTTTTTCAAATGTTATAATATTTCATTTTAACAGGCAGCTATTGAAAACTGAGTTGGGATCATTCTTTACAGAATACCTCCAGGTAAGATATTTAATTGTATTTCCCCTAGAGATGTGTTTGTTCTAATATGTACATTTTAAAAAACATAAATTTCTTCCCTCTTTTCCTCATTATCAGAATCAGCTTTTAACTAAAGGCATGGTCATTTTACGGGACAAAATAAGGTTTTATGAAGGTATACCCTCCCATTTTAAAGACAAAACACATTCCTTAAAACAATTTTGAATGTTAATGCCATTACACAGTATGTCACGAACAACACAAACTGTTTTCCTTCTGGCTGGAAATAGGTCAGAAGTTACTGGACTCTTTGGCTGAGACGTGGGACTTCTTCTTTTGTGATGTTCTCACCATGCTTCAAGCCATCTTCCACCCCGTCCAGGTACAGTCTAGTCATCCTGTGTGAAATAACTGGTCAGACATCAGCTACAGCAGTTGTGTGTGTTCATGGCATCTCAGGGGAAGGAGCCATCGGTGCGTCAGCTGGCCCTGCTGCACTTCCGAAACACCATCACCCTTAACATGAAGCTGGAGGAGGCTATGTCCAGACCGCGAGCCCGCGTCCCTCCCTCCATCGTCCAGATGCTTTTGGTGTTACAGGTACACATCTTCTTAGATCATGTGAAAGATCCAGCCATACTGTCATGAGCTGCACCCAGAGATTATAACATAGCGACTTCAGGATGGGTCATTTGCGATGATTTCAGCAGTTGTGTCATATAGAGTGAGACATTAATCACAGGCCTTGTGCGTCTCAACTACAATGACTGTAATTCATATTTCAAAAGGGATAGAGTCAAAGTGAAACTTCATGTCTTACAGGGGGTTCATGAATCCAAAGGTGTGAGTGAAGAATACCTGAAGCTGGAGTCTCTCATTCAGAAGGTGGTGTCGCCGTACCTGGGCACGCAGGGACTGTGTTCACATGAGTGTGGCGCTTCTCAGTGCTCCTGTGTTATCGGTGAGAGAAGCAATAAAGCAGCATTTTGAAAACCCAACGTTTCAGATATCCAAAGAAGTGAACTTAAGGGATAGTTCACACAAGTTAAAATGGCAGCTGTATTTTATTTTTTTTTTTTAAGAAAGAAAAAAATATTCTACAAATCAAAAATTTGGGGTCTCTACAGTTAAAACAGTAATATTGTGAAATATTAGAATTTAAAATAACTGGTTTTTATTATAATATAATTTAAAATGTAATTTATTTCTGTGATGGCAAAGCTGAATTTTCAGCATTATTACTCCAGTCTTCAGTGTCACATGATCCTTCAGAAATCATTCTAGTATAATGAGTTGGTGCTCAAAAACATTTATTATTATTATTATTATTATTATTATCAATGTTGAAAACAGTTGTGATGTTTTGTATTTTTGTGGAACCCATGCTACATTTTTTTCAGGATTCTTTGATGAATAGAAAGTTCAAAATATTTGAAAACGAAATCTTATTTAACATTAAATGTATTTACATTTATGCAAGTTTACATTTGTTACGAAAATTAAATTGATAGCCTTTAACGCATCAAAAAATGTTACTGACCCCAAACTTCTAAACAGTACTATATGTTTTATACATATATAATTTATAATATAATTTTCAGCAAAAAAGCTTGGAAGGACAGCAGTGAAAATGACCAACATTTGTATTTTAATATTGCAAAGAAATAAAACATTATTAAACTGTCCACCACTACTTTTCAGTGGTCCTATTCATAATTTACACACACGGAATAATTCATTAAAACATATAATTTTTTTGCCTGCATCATAGAAATACAGAAAAATAAAAAGATTTAAAGATCAAAAATGAGTTTTAAAAAGGACTGTTTTCATGTATTAAGACACATTTATACTGTATGAGGAAAAAACACTATTATATTAATATTATAATTATAAATATTAAACTCTATATTATAATATAAATATTATAGCATGTTGTTTCCAAAATTACATAACTGGCTACATTTAAAATAATATCTGGAAAACATTTATTTTGTGTGGTTTTTCTACATGTTGTTTATGTTAGCTGTATAAACCTAAAGAGAAAGATTTTAATTATATTCTAATTGTTTGTAAATCTCTTTTCACCATAAATAAAATTTAAGATGACAGTTGCAAAGACAAACGTCATAAAAATACACAAATACAATTATATATCTCAAATAACATATTTCACAAGGGAGGAGAGATAAACAGAAATAAATGTTTTCACAAAACGATTTGTTTCTTTATTTATTGTTAAAAACTAAGGCTGTCAGTAGAAATGTGTCAAATGTGTAAAAAAAATGCATTAAAGGAACACTCCACTATTTTTGAAAATAGACTCATTTTCCAACTCTTCTAGAGTTAAAGAGTTGAGTTTTACCGTTTTAGAATCCATTCAGCCGATCTTTGGTTCTGGCGGTAGCAATGATGTTACGCAGCGCCTGAAAATAGTCCCCAACTAGGTAACTTCCTATAAGCCTATTTTCAGGCGCTGCGTAACATCATTGCGCCAGCTGCACCCATGGTACGGCAGCAAAGTTCCTTGATTATTACACCGGAATGAGAGTATAGTTCCTAGCCATATTGGTCTAGAAAATCGCAGCTTTTCATTTTCCGTCGGTCTTAGTACACGATGTAACTACAGAAGAGTCAAGTTTTAAATAGGAAAAATATCGAAACTCTTTGGTCATTTTTGAGCGAGATGCTAACGGTCTAATCAGATTCAATGATCTATGCTAAGCTGCAGCTAAAAGTGCTACCGCCAGACCCAGAGATCGGCTAAATGGATTCGAAAACGGTAAAACTCAGCTGTTTAACTCTAGGGGAGTTGGAAAATGAGCCCATTTTCAAAAATAGTGGCGTATTCCTTTAAACTTTTATTTAATAAATGGATGAACTGTCCCTTTAAAAATCTTGCAAGGATGTTCTCCACCCAGAAACATTTACAGCTTTGATCCCTTGTCATTCAGCCGTTTGTATATCTATAAAGTATGTCAGAACTGTACTACTACTGCTATGTGTTCAATGAAAAAGCAGTATATCATTATTCATTTCTTAAAAATCTTTCCAGAGAGGCGTTTGCAGTATTGCTGGTCCAAGTCTGCAGACCTGCCCTCCAGTAATCCAGTAGTGCGCTCCAAGAGTTACAACATCCCCATGCTGACCCCTGTGGCCGAGTACGACTCTGAAGTGAGCTCTGTAGGCAGCGTCGGCATCCGGCGTCACTCTGCGTGTGACGTCACTTCCTGCATAGAGCCCCAGGGCTATTCGGCCCTGTCTGTGGGAATAGAGACCAGCTCAACCCCCAGACTCTCACTCGATCACGACCTCACCCTGTCCGGTGTGATGCGAGGGGCCACGGGACAGCCCGCTCTGATTTCTCCGCCCGTCTTCATCCACACCTCCGTAGGGTGTCTGCATGCAGCGGACGCCCCGATGGCTTCATCCAAGGTGGACAAGGCCCTTTCGTCACCCCCGAGCTGCTCCTCCAGTCCGGAGACGATTGTAATGCAGGGGCTGGACTCACTGGAATCAGATCCTGACGGAATCTTCATCGACTTTTCCCACTGCCGCTCCGATTCTTTCGGAACGAGCAGGAAAACTAGCTGATGGAATCAATTGCTGTGAAGAATCCATTTCAGATGTTTCAGATTATAAACTACCACTATTTTCTGTGAACTTGTGAAGTAGTTATGTACGTTGTGATTTTTAAAACTGGAATTTCATTCCTGCTTTGCGCAAAAGCCAAGGCTGCTTTGTGGGAAAAATGGGAGAATACTCAATTTAAAGTGATTGTTTTCATAATGTTCTAAACCTGTGGATGAATTTTTGAATTTTTCTAGTTTTTCATAGACAATAGACGTGGAATGTCTCCATTTTAATTAATACACATTTTACTGTCTCTCATTTATAGAAGCTTATTTCCGCAATGGAATAAAAAAAATTAAAAAGGGTGATTGTGGCTTTTTATCTCGCAATTTAGAGTTTATATCTCACAATTAAGACTTGTCTTAGAACTGCTAGATTGCAAGAAAAAAAGTCACAATTACATTTTGTTTTTGTTTTTTTGGCCGAAAAAAAGTTATTGTGAAATATCAGGTCAGAATTCAGAAAAAAAGTGAAGACAAACGTCATAAAAATACACAAATACAATTATATATCTCAAATAACATATTTCACAAGGGAGGAGAGATAAACAGAAATAAATGTTTTCACAAAACGATTTGTTTCTTTATTTATTGTTAAAAACTAAGGCTGTCAGTAGAAATGTGTCAAATGTGTAAAAAAAATGCATTAAAGGAACACTCCACTATTTTTGAAAATAGACTCATTTTCCAACTCCCCTAGAGTTAAACAGTTGAGTTTTACCGTTTTAGAATCCATTCAGCCGATCTCTGGGTCTGGCGGTAGCAATGATGTTACGCAGCGCCTGAAAATAGTCCCCAGCTAGGTAACTTCCTATAAGCCTATTTTCAGGCGCTGCGTAACATCATTGCGCCAGCTGCACCCATGGTACGGCAGCAAAGTTCCTTGATTATTACACCGGAATGAGAGTATAGTTCCTAGCCATATTGGTCTAGAAAATCGCAGCTTTTCATTTTCCGTCGGTCTTAGTACACGATGTAACTACAGAAGAGTCAAGTTTTAAATAGGAAAAATATCGAAACTCTTTGGTCATTTTTGAGCGAGATGCTAACGGTCTAATCAGATTCAATGATCTATGCTAAGCTGCAGCTAAAAGTGCTACCGCCAGACCCAGAGATCGGCTAAATGGATTCGAAAACGGTAAAACTCAGCTGTTTAACTCTAGGGGAGTTGGAAAATGAGCCCATTTTCAAAAATAGTTGAATTTTTCTAGTTTTTCATAGACAATAGACGTGGAATGTCTCCATTTTAATTAATACACATTTTACTGTCTCTCATTTATAGAAGCTTATTTCCGCAATGGAATAAAAAAAATTAAAAAGGGTGATTGTGGCTTTTTATCTCGCAATTTAGAGTTTATATCTCACAATTAAGACTTGTCTTAGAACTGCTAGATTGCAAGAAAAAAAGTCACAATTACATTTTGTTTTTGTTTTTTTGGCCGAAAAAAAGTTATTGTGAAATATCAGGTCAGAATTCAGAAAAAAAGTGACTTCTATAAAAAAAAAAAGCTTAAAACTCAAAATCTTGAGGAAAAAGTCATTTGCGAGATGTAAACTCGAAACTACGAGTTTATCATTTGAAATTGTGAGATATAAACTCGCAATTGTGAGAATTTTTTTTACATTTTTTATTCCATGGCAGAAATAAACTTCTTTTGTTTAAAGTTTGTTTAAAGTTGTTGTCACATTTACTGTTGTTTGTCGAATTTTCGCAGACGAAATCCAGTAGGAATTCACCCAGTTGGGAGTTTCACGTGAGGGAGAAAGAATTCGCAATGGGTTCATGATTTTCACATGGATTTGCCACGTCGACCATCAGAAAGCTGATTGGTTTATTAGTTCTTCTGTGTGAGGTGTGCTTCATACATCAATACCCAATCAACAATAGACAATTGTTATTCAATTGCATAATCTTGTTTTTTATTCGCGAAATTGTGACTGCACCTTAAGTGAACTTCACGTATGGTAATGTGTTATGAGACGACAGTATGCCTAAATGTAGAAATCTCTTCCATTATTGTCACTCTTGATCACATGCACTATTTATTGTCATAGGGCTTTAAATGAACTACATTTAGTGCTTTTTAATCATTGTCAAGCTAACCTGTGCTCTTAATGGTATGAAAATAAATTAGTCTCTTAATCTGAGAATAACAGTCGCTGATGATAATACAGTGCAGAACATTGTACATCTTGAACACGCCGTTTGTTTCTCAAGCTTGTTGCTTTTTTTATGTGACAATGAGCTGCCTGGAAGTTAACGGGGTTTGCTAATTGAATGTGTTAACAAAAACTCCCTTTTAGTTAGTTGATAAAATAGTATAAATACAGAAAGATGGTGTTAGATGAAACTGGAATGCTAAATTTTACTTTTTGACTATAAAAGGCTATTTTATAAAAAGGCATTCTTTAATTTAAAAAGATTATTGTCAGATTTCTTTAGAATTTAGGAGTTAATTTAATTGGTAAATACGCATAAGTATAATTGGATAAATGCTTATTCCAGATTATGAAATTGAAATGATGCATAAAAGCCCCATTGTATAAAAAATTATAAGGTACTTTAAAGAGTTTTTTGTGATTTTTGTTTCTGTTTTCTATGTATGTAAGCTTTTTGATTTAGGTTATAAGATAATGAATTTCTCTGTAGTTTTATAGGTTTGAGATTGAGCATACTTGCATAGGTTTTTACACAAGCAACATTTTTTAGGAATGTAAAAAGTTTACAGTGGTACTTTAATACCTTGCACTGTCATTTCTGAAGTCTGTGCTTACTTTCATACTGAATTTGTTATCAGCTTTCATGTGTGCTGCTGTGGACAACCTCAACCAGACTGAATTCGTAGTAAAATACTTTTTATGCTTCACGTTTATGAGTGTTTCAAAGATTATGTGTGAAGTCTGTGAACAAATAGGCTGGGTTTTATATTGGTCGTGCTCATATTTTATTCTATGCTTTGATGGATTTCATTATAATTTTCTTTGGTAACTCTTGTCGGTAAGATAAACAGATTTGCATATGAAGGAAGCGTGTAAACACTCATGTTTGATTTCCTATTCAAAGATAACTGTGGAGCTTATTTGTTTAAAGGAGACATATTATGCCCCTTTTTACAAGTCTTTGGTGTGCCCAGAATGTGTCTGTAAAGTTTCAGCTCAAAATACCTTACAGATCATTTATTATATCATTTTGAAAATGCCTATTTTGAGTGGAAGCAGAAACACGCTGTTTTTCGTGCCTGTCTCTTTAAATGCAAAGGAGCTCTTGCTCCCCGCCCCCTTTTCCAGAATAGAGCTGCTTCATTACAGCTCAGACCTGATAAAACATCTGTTTTGGTTCTGATTATCATGTTTATCCACTGAAATCATGCGTTTTAAACCATATTAGTTTAAACTTCTGATATACGTTTTTCTGAGCGCACAGCATGTGAGTACTAAACTAAGTTCTCATTCACACACAAGTTTGTTAAAAACACATGAATTACAAAAACAGCCGGTTATGTCTGTGAAGATAAACAGCTGGAAAATAAATTGCATGTTTATTTTAGATCTAAATAGTGTTCTGTCCTCGTCTGTGCAGACAAAGACAGAACAGTTAGCGTGTTTTGCTCAAACTTTCGCCATGTTGCTGGTACACCGTTGTCGCTTGCGAAATCAAAATGACGGCGCCGTGGGTGGAAACTTACAGATTAAGGGGCGGTAATATTATATTGAGATCCCTTTGCCACGTCACCAAGAGAGCGAAATCAGACGCGCTCGTTTTCTCAGACGCTTGCAGAAAAAGGCTTCCCAAAACAAAGTTACTGGGTTAATCTTTTTCACGTTTCCTTGGTTGGTAGATGCACCAGGGACCTGATTATAGCACTTACAACCTGGAAAAGTCAGATTTTGATGATATGCACCTTTAAGGCCAGTGACATTGAGCCGGAAGTAAGGTTGAATCATGACTGAATCATTTGCTTGTTTGAGATGTGCCTGGCCTCGCCTGAAATGTTGGCGAGAGTTTGACTCAAGTTAATTTAATACCCTAATATCATAAAGTTTACAAACAATGACTTGTTATAAATATATTTACAACCAAAAAGCTTCTGCTTTTTAAAAATAAAACGTGCCAAGACTTTTTCAACGTAAATTATTTTTTAGAGTTGCTTAGGCTTAATGTAAATGCTTATATATTTTTAAGAGTTAAATGTATGATTTTATATATAAATATATATAAAATGGACGATTTTAGAAGGATTACGTATTTACGTATTGCGTCATGACGTAAAGATTCACGTTTTGTGAACTAATTCTTTGAAACTGTTCAAAGGAATCGATTCGCGCAAATGAGTCGCACTTCCCATCACTAATAGGGGGGTTGCTGTTGTTTCTAAAACACAATTTGAATTCACTTGAGCAAATGTAATACTTAATATGTTTTTTAAAGAAAAATGATCACTTTTGATATAAATTTCAGACCTTTTGAACATAAACATACGGCTTTTTCAATACAATAAGACCAGCCCGCTGAACAGTCACCCTCCCCGTTTTGAATAGACGAAGACAAAGGCTACCGGAAACCGAACTCCATAGTTTTCGTCAAATGGCTGATTTGTATTCACGGGAAATCGTTTGTTTTCTCCAACCGTTTACATTCAGTTTTTCAAAGTCTTTTCCTCGAGCTTTTTCATGGATCTAAATTTATGTTTAAAAAACATGCGCCGCGATTTAGAAGTAGTCGCTACGAAGACCTGGCGGCGCAAATACAGCGACGTAAGCTGGTTATTCCAAGCGAATGAATCCCAGACAGAGTTCTGAATGCAGCAAAGCGCGTTCGTTTTTTATTTTCGTTGTTCGTTTTTTATTTTCGTTGTTCGTTTTCTTCCATTTCTCACGGCATTTCTTTTACATGCGGTCCTCGCCGGCAGAAGACCAGACTAATAACTTAGCTAAGCTAACGAGCCGCTCTTAGAAATGGAGATCCACGTCTCGAGCCTCTTCCCGGAGATCTTAGCGATGATTTTCAACTACCTGGACGTCAAAGGCAAAGGCAGAGTCGCGCAAGTATGCATGGCTTGGAGAGACGCCTCGTACCACAAATCCGTCTGGAGAGGAGTAGAAGCCAAACTCCACCTGAGAAGAGCAAACCCGTCGCTGTTCCCCAGCCTCCAAACCAGAGGCGTCAAGAAAGTCCAGATCCTCAGCCTGAGGCGCAGCCTTAGCTACGTTATCCAGGGCATGCCCAACATCGAGAGCCTTAACTTGAGCGGATGCTACAACCTGACGGATAACGGCCTGGGACATGCATTCGTGCAGGACATCCCGTCACTGAGGATGCTCAACCTGAGCCTGTGCAAACAGATCACCGATTCCAGTTTGGGCAGGATCGCGCAGTATCTAAAGAACCTGGAGCTGCTGGATCTGGGCGGGTG